AAGGTGTCCCTGCCCATGGCAGGGGGGTTGGAACTAGATGTTCTTTGAGGTCCCTTCCAACCCAAACCATTCTGTGATTGTATGAGTGAGCTAATCCCAGTAATACCAAAGTAGGAGGCCAGTGAGTGGGGTAACTCACTCGACAGCTCAGCAAGACAAGGCAAACCTGTGTTGCTGACCACAGACTGTCCAGTCCTGGAGCCTGTTTAAGGTGCCAGATGGCTTCTGTAACACACAGTTACCATGTCAGGTGATTCCTGACTGGTGACTCCTCTCCTCAGCTCTGGGGGAAAGCTGGTGATTTTTGGGGCCATCCCCTCTGTCGCTGTGGGTGCTGCTCCTGGCGGGAAGATCTGGGAAAGCTGATAAGGTGGTTTATCAGTGCTGTGGGTCAGCAGCTCTGACTGATGAGCTCAATCCATCACAAAATCAGAGATTCTCCAGAGAGAGAATTATCACAAAGCCAATCTGTCGTGTTTTGGCCTTACACGAGATACTTCATCTTCCCTGGATCCCTGAGGACATGGAAGATTTTATCTGTTTAACACTAGGATGCAGAAGCTGAATGCTTTGAGTTTAGCAAAAAACTTTCCCCTTTGCTTCAGTTCTTGCTGGCTGGGGAAGGCAATTTTGAGGCTGACCCTTCACTCCAGCAGGACTTTTCTTTTGAGAGGGAACAAAAACCAACAACGAAACCACCTCTGCGGAGGGGTGAGTGGTGGAAGGATGCTTTCCAGGTCCTCCTTGGACATGCCTCCTAAGCAGAGGGGGCTCAGACCTTAGATGGAAGGAGCAGGGTGACACCGCCGTGAACATCTCACCTCTTCCCCGTCCTCTACGTGCACCATAAAACATTTTTTGTGGTGTAAACCACGTTGGGAGATACCTGCGCTGCTCACCAGCTGTCACTTCCAGGGATTGTGGCTGTTGGAAGCCTCTGTGGATGAGATGGTGGGGAAATTATATATGTACCAGTCAACCCCCGCTCTGTCTACATGGTCAACTGGTGGGCTCTGGCTCCTTTCCCCATGAGGGGGGGTCTTACCCATCCACCCACCCTGGAGGAGCCCACGCTGCTGCTGGCAAGACGGTGGTTTTGGCTTCCTAGAGAAGCAAAGATACCTGGGCTTCCCCCCAGAAATAATAATAATACCCCTGATCCCCCCCTTCTCCCCCAGCAGTGCAGCTCTGGCCGCCCAGTGCCGGCGGCAGGGAATGGGGTGGCTCCGGGGGGGGAACCCACCCACCCCAACTTCCACCTGGCCACGACCAACGCAAGGTACTCGAAAGAAAGCAACGGCTCGCACGGCAGGCTCGTGTTAGCTGGATATATTTCTCTTTTTTTGGGTTTTTTTTTTCACAGAACACTTGGCAGTAGAGGAAAAAAACCGCGGCGCTGCCCCCGGCACGCTGCTCCCGGTGCCCGGCGCGTTTCACCGCTTGGTTGATTTTGTTGTTTGTGGGTTTTGTTTTTTTTTTTCCTTTCTACCTTTTTTTTTTAGTTGTGTTTTTTTTTTTTTCTTTCCTTTTTTTTTGATCTTTTTCACCATTTCTCAAGCTTTCTCCGAAGGAACGGCCGCTGGCTCTCAGCTAGCAGAAGGAGACTACGGAAGAGCTCTGGGACACGTGGGATGGTTTCCTTCTCCCGCCTCGCAGCTGACTTGGTCGAGATATTTATTTGATTTTTTTTTTTTTTTTTCTTTTTTTTCCCAACTCGTTTTTTTTTTTTTTTAAAAAAAAAAAAAAAAAAAAAAAAAAAAAA